GATATCAAAAAAGTACTCCAGAGTGTTGTTCAGCATGGGGGTGAGTAGAAAATGAAGGCTAATCATGTTTTGGGTGTACTATTCCTTTAAAACTTTTGACCTGAGCTCCATTTATGCTGAACTGACTGAGGAGAGTCAGTCCTATCTAATCCTAGAGCTTCGATTACAATAAATTTAGGGTTTACCTGTCTTTAACTCGTTTTCTATCTTGTCCAGTTACCCCAAAGGAAAGACTGGGCAACTCTCACTTGTTAAAGCTTGAACTTTCAAACTAAGCTCATAAAAATAGAAGATGCTGCATAACTTCCTCCTCACTGGACGACTCTGATGGCTGGAAGCCATATGGCTCTGAAAACCCCCCATCTAGGAATATGAAGCAGACTGTTGCAAAAGCTGCAACAGCTTCTGGCAATCAGGAGCCTCCTGATCGGCACTCCGGCTGCAGACTGGAGAAAGAATTATGTCACAGTTTAGTGATTTTATGTTTCACTGGCAACAGAGGCAGCCGTCTTGTTAGCTATGCTTTCTGCATGTCCAAAGGGAAGCTAGGTGGTTTAAAATGGTTGCACAGAAGCAGTACTTCACCTCTTTGCCGTTGTCTAGTCCTTGCTGCCTTCGTTTTATTTGTTCCCTTAAAGACACCACCTGAAATGATGCAAACAATTAATGACTTCTACTGGAACTCTTAAAATCTTGTGGGAAAATACCTGGAAGTCCTGTAAAAAATTCACCTCTTGGGAAGAAGACTGCAGCTCTTCCTCTAGGACCGCCACGCGCTCCAGCGCCACTCGTAGCCTCTCCCGCACTTTTTCATCCAGCGCTTTGTGGTGCTCAAACAAGGACTTGAGGGCTTTCAGGACTTCCACCTCACTGGAGACTCCAGGCTGCCTTTTCACCACGGTCATCCTCAGGCTTCGCTCGTGGCGGGACACCAGGCATTCCAGATGTTCAAGGAGCAGCTGGAAGAACACGAGGTCTGCACACTCTAAATCTGTCTCCTATGATTACAGCTTGTCATGGGAGCATGCAGAGCAAACAGTGTGAACATGAAGAGGCACGGAGCAGCACTGACCCGTGTGTTGTTTCTCTCCGCCTTCAGCTCGGCTATCTCCTCTTCTCTCTCCAGCAACTGTTCCCGGCACATGTTCAGCTCCTTGGTCAGCACTGCGAACTCCTGAAAGGTTAGAAGATGCAGCTGGTGTTGAACGACAACTGGTCACATTCAGACTGAACAAACTGTAACGACCACTGACAGTCTATGAAAAGATCAAATGAAGGGCTGAAATTATGCCATCCATCCATCCATCCATCCATCCATCCATCCATCCATCCATCCATCCATCCATCCATCCATCCATCCATCCATC